AAAACTAGATTCTCAAACAGGGGTGACATGCTTCTTTCTACACCCAAAACTGTTTTCTTTTTTCACTTTGTTCGTGTATTTTCTTTCAAACCCTGCTGGCTATAACAATGGATAAAGAAATATTGTTTTATAGGGCTGGACTGCAACCAGAGGCCAAAAGTTCAAATAATTTAAGGTTTTATGGATTCTTGAGCTATTTTTTATGCACGTCTGACATTTTAAAAATCCTTTTTTTTAATAGTCTCAACCTTCTATTTGAGAACACAATACAATGCACACCTTGAAGCTGTGACTATCATTTAATTTATAAAAGGAACCACCATAACTCCTTATTTCGTTTATTTCATTCTGATTCGTGAGTCGGATGATTTTGAATTTGTTTTCTGATATTGGGTAGATTATTACTTTGGTGGCACATAGCTCAGTACAGGATCTCAAAGGAATTTAGCCTTTTAGGGAAAAGATCATTGTAACTTCCACAAAACTGTATCTTTATGTTTAACAAGACTGGACACGATAACCATTGCTCAACCAAGGAAATGTTTGAGTATTTCTATCACCTTATGTCCTAAATACTTTTCCCACTCTTTCTTTCTTTCTTTCTTTCTTTCTTAATAATTTCTGACTCTTTCTTCCTTTTTTACTTCTTTCTTTCGATTCCCATTTCTTTCTTTCGTTCTTTCATAATATTTCCTCGCTCTTCTTTCTTTCTTCCTTACTTCGTTTTTCTTTCTTTCTTTTTCTTTCTTTTTCTTTCTTTCTTAATATTTCCTCTTTCTTTCTTTCTTTCTTTCTTTCTTTCTTTCTTTCTTTCTTTCTTTCTTTCTTTCTTAATAATTGCTCACTTATTTCCTCCTTCCTCCCTTCTTTCTTTCTTTCTTTCTTTCTTTCTTTCTTTCTTTCTTTTCCTCGTTTCTTTCTTTCTTTCTTTCTTTCTTTCTTTCTTTCTTTCTTTCTTTCTTTCTTAATATTTCCTCTTTCTTTCTTTCTTTCTTTCTTTCTCAATAATTCCTCTTTTTTCGTCTCTTCTTTCTTTCTAGCCTAAATTATTTTCTTTATTTTGTTCGTTAATTTTAGATGAATCAATACATATATATAATAAGATTACTTGTTTTTCGGGAATTTCAGAAATGCATACACAAGCCACGCTTGTAGAATTCCTCTGGCTTCAGGCAGTTATCTCTAAATCAACGTACTAACATCATATACAATCCAGTCTGTTGGAAACATTTTAACAAAACACAAGGTATTAGAATGGCATAAAACGTCCTGTTCAAAAGATCCATTATGAAGGTTATAACGCTGACAAGTCCAAGGCCAGGATTGAAAACAATATGGACGGCAATAATAGTTTGAAAAAATTGTCAGATGATTAGCATTTTATTTTCTTCGAGGTTATATCAAAGGTGCTATTTCCATGTCAAATGTTCTGACATTCTTTAGTTCCACCAGTTCAGACCTTCACAACTAAGACTAGTCATGCAAAATACACTGGAATTCATTCTCTTTGTATTTAGTTAGTAAAGAGCAAGTTTCAATATTTTGATTGATTAATTGTTTTTTACGGGTTATCAGCCCTTTCTGTGTTTTGGATTGTAAGAATAATTCTTTTTTGTGAATAAATATTGCATTAATAATTTTTTTAGAATAACAACAATTTTTCAAAAAAGTTCTAATATTTAACCCATAAATGGGGAATGGATTCATACCTTTCCCAAACGTATTTGTGCGTAAGTGTATATAACGAAACCGACTGGAATTCGAACTTGGGTTTCCGATTTTTCATTCTGAGCTGTCATCCATTACAGAACACGCACATCCACTCCACTCGGACAGTTTCTTCCCTGCAACCGCTACTTTGTGGAAATGACTCCCGAGAGGATACTTTCTCGATCACAACAATGTTAATCTCTACAAGTCTCAGGTTAACTGTTATCTTTCCTAAATATCCTCATAAATTGCACTTCTTACCCCTCCTCTTACGCTCATTCAGTAAGCCTCTACCTACAGTGGCTCTTGGGCTTTCTAACTGATGAACATTAGAAAAAAAGGTTACATACCACAGTCAAGTGTAATTGATTTTCGATGCCAACCCCCCTCTCCAAACGTGACTGGGATAAATAGTGCGAGTAGCGGGGGAGAATCCCTGCCCTGATTGACAATAATTTTGAAGTTGTTTATTTGCTATGTTGGGTTTTTGTCCTTCATCATATCTTAGAGAGAAAAATAAATTATTTCGCAGTATCCATCTCCTCTCCAAATATCATGTGACAGGAAATACTCAGTTAAATGGTACAAGTATTGAAAAATCCCTGTCCTGGCTCACCATATTTTTCCAATAATTTCACCCCAATGAAGGCAATAAAGCTACTAAGACACAGAGTTTTACTGAGTGTGAAAGAATATAAGAAAACAAAAAGGAGTAAGAACAATAAGAGAACGGGAATTAAGAAGACAGGAGGTAACAATTGACATTGCATTTAAAGTTTTGAAGATCAAACTTGACTGGAAAGAAGCCGGAGGAGAGTTCCACGATTGAGAAGTGCGAGAAACGAAACTGCTAGCAAAGAAATTTAGAGTTCGTCTAGTTTGCTATTCTGGATTTTTGCCGTTCATGGATTCTGAGAGGCAAATGGAATTACTTGGCGATACCCTCCTCCTTCCTTTGATGTGACCTCACGTACTGATCCACATAATACGATCAAAGAATCCCTAATCTAATTGAGATTTCTTATTTGTGAATTATCATAGCATGATAGTGTTGAGTCCCTTAAGATATCTGGAGTCGAGACCAAGGACAGGGAGAAGTAGTCTTTCAAATTAAACTACAAGCAATTTTCTGCCCTTGCTATATAAAGCTATGATAATTAGGTGTGAAAATGAATCAAAAGAGAAAGTAATTTTTTCAGAAGGAAAATCCTCGAGAGTGCCGCCATTGAATATTATGAAAATAACAATCTATGACCCAGTTTTTCCCAATCTCACCTTTCCTGAAAGAATTACTATTTTTCTAAGCCAACATACACAACAACAACAAATATGTTGAAAAATCAAAAGAAAACGGTTCAATCCATCACTTCAGCCTTTGAAGATGTACAGCACTTACGTCCATTTCAAAGTCTGTGAACATACACCCGATGATCTTACGACATAAATGTTGCGTCTTGTCTGGTGAAAATTCAGTCCTTTGGTTGTGAAACAGGAGTGACCTCGATAGGGCGTAGACCTGGGCGATGGTATATGGATGCCGTGCGCTTTCTAGACTACATGCTCCCGCTCTTCACCGTACCAAAGTAATATAGGGCATTACATCTGGGGAGGGCTTCACTGAAGGAGTTGCCGGAAAGTTGTCAGTGTTGAAAGACAACCTCCTTCGGGGCTCCACTCCAGGTTTTCTGTCTGGATATACTTCCATGTTTTTTCCCCTGTTTGGATATGATCGTAAGGTAGTGGGGCTTTCAAATCAGGGTTTTCCTTCCCCTATGTGGACAACCTTCCTGGGCTGTTAAGCCCCATCTACCTGAAAAAGATCCATCTATATCTGTAGACAGTACAATAAAAAGCAATCACTTATAATAAGATAGCAAATAGAAATTCACAATAGTTTAAAATGGTCGAAATATTTTGCACGTTATTGCATTCATTGATTTATTTGGCTTATTTTTTTTTTAAAGCTGTATTTTGAGGGGAATTGGGAAAAGGTGTAGAGGTTTGGTGACTACTGGCACCCTAATGGTAATGTTCATTGGATATATGACTAAGTTTCTTTATTCAAAAGGTAAGCAAGTATTACCTTTCGTAATGTCAGAGTAACCCACACAATAACTTTATGTAAATGAATGACAGAGAAGGGACTTGGAGTGACGGTATGGGTACAAACATTGTGGAGAGTCATGATTACCCAAGTCCTTAGAGGGTACGATACATAAAATGAAAACTGTTAGGTGCTTTAATTTAGTGTGGTTTTGTTTTTAGGCAATGTTTAACCTTCGGACCCGAAAAAAAAAACTGTCTGTTAAAGGGAAGGTTTTTCCCTTGACACCACTATTATTATATACTCCCTCCTCGGCAATGTTTATTTTCATTACAGACATTTTCCTGTTTTAAGACATTGCATCTGACTTGGATTATGTGAGGTGGGTGAAAATTTTTGCGCGCCCATTTTTGGGGGGTCGTCTCGCATCTTCCACGCTCCTTCAGGGCCACTAATAAGAAATATGATAATTAGGCGTGAAAATGACTCCAGTATGGCCAAAGTTTCATCTGTAGACAACACAATAAAAAAAACACCCCTAAGATGGCAATATTTAAAAATTTACAATAGTTTAAAATGTCCGAAGACGGTACTGTATATCTGAAGAATTTTCATGCCCTTCAAGTGAAAGAAAAAGACAAAGGAAAGGTACAAAGAACCAATCAATAAGAAAGGTAAAAAGAAATTATTTAAAGAAAAGTGAAGAAAGAAAGACAGAAAGAAACGATGAAATGAAAAAAAAGGCGGGGAGTAAGAGACGCAAAGAAAGGAAGAAAAAGAAAGAAATTTTTGGAAGGAGAGCAAAGAAAATATTGAAAGCGATGACAAAATGAAGAAAAAAAAAAGAAGGAAATGAGAAAGTAATAGAAAGAAGGAGTAATTTAAAAAAAAAGTTTAGAAACATAAAAGAGGAAAAGGAATAGGGGAAAAGAGGTGAAAAGAAAAAAGGGAGGAAGGGTGAAAGCTAAGGAAATAAAGAAAATGTTTAAGTATTTCTTGACAGGAAATCACACGGGAAAGGAATTTGTTAAGGGCGGAAAAAAGAAGGAAAGGAGAAAGTAAGGAAAAAAAAAAAAGAAGGAACAAAAGAATAAGAAAGTTAAAAATAAATTGTTGAAAGAAAAGAAGAGGAAGAAGAAAAATAAAGAAAGAGATGAAGAAATGAAGCAAAAAAAAATGGGAGAAATCAGACAGTCAACGAAAAAGAAAAATATGAAGAAAAAAAGGTAAAAAGAAAATGTTTAAATTAAATATAGGAAGAAAGCAAGAGGGAAAGAGGTGAGAAAACGAAGGAAAAAAAGAAGGAAATGAGAAAGTAAGGAAAGAGGGAAAGAAAGAATGAGAAAGATAAAAAGAAAATGTCTAAAAATAAAAACAGGAGGAAATGTGAAAGCAAAAGAAATTGGGAAAGAGTTGAATAAATGAAGAAAAATGGAGGAAATGAACAAAGAAAGAACAATGTGAAAAAGAAAAAGAAATTGATGAAAGAAAAGGGGAGAAGAATGGAATATAGAAAGAGATGAAGAAATGATGGAAAAGGGGAGGGAATGAAAAAGTTAGGAAAGAAAAAAGAAGAATAAGAAATTGTTATAAAAAGGGAATTGTTGAATGGGAAAGGAATATGGTTTGGTAGGAAGAATGAAAGAAAAGAAGGAAGAGAAACAAAAAAAGGGAGATAGGGAAATATAAAAAGACATTGCTGAAATCTGTAAATTGTAAAAGAGATGAAAAGATAGACGAAATGTGACGTGAAAAAAATGAAGAATGGGAAATACTAAAAAAAATTGTAAGATGAAAAATCAAAATGGAAGGCGATGGAAAACGTGGAAAAATTCAGGAAATGTGAAAGTGAACGTAATGGAAAAGAAAAGATTGGTAGAGAGAGGAGAAAATTTTTAAAAAAAATTGGAGTGGATAAAACGAAGGAAAGAAGGAATGAACCAATGATTAACGAAAAAAGTAATTGTTGAAAAAAGTATGAAAAGAAGTTGGAAAATATCGAAAAAGAACGGGACATAAGAAAGAAAGAAAGAAAGATAGAAAGAAAGAAAGAAAGAATGTAAACTTCTTAAAGCTACGTAAAAATGCGTCAGAAAGTCAGACAGAAATGGTGTATTATGGTGAAAAGAAAAGAGGAAAGAATTTGTATAAGAAAAAGCATCGTGAAAAAGATGTTTTGGAATGAAGACGACAAAAGCCTGTTGGTTCGTTACTTGGCAGGACGCCATGAGTTTGCTATGCTTGGAATGTAACTATAGCCAGGGCAACAGGCAAATTATTCAGTATCCGATCCGACCTGATTGACTACTGCTAAAACTACTATTGCTAATATAACTATAATTGCCTTTTTTAACTACTACTACTACAACAAGTAATACTACTGCTGCTGAACTTTTTCTGCTTCTCTTGCTACAAGCGGTGCCCGATAAATTCACAGAGAGAAGCCGCATTACTGAAATTCCGTCACACAAAACAACCTCCCACCCAGGAATTGCAGTTTACCCCGATCTCCATTTTTAGAGCGGGGAGGGGCATAGGGTCACATGATTCGGTCACATGACTTGGACAACAACAATAAAAACAATAATGACACATAGGACTGAAAGAAAAGAAAAAAAGAAAAGGAAAAAGAGACATGCCAGTTGAAACATTTACGAGCAGTACTAGTAAAGGTTTCTCTAACATTTTTTAGTGGCAACAACAACGACAAACAAAGCCATGTGACCAAGATTGGAATCTTAGTCATTTAGAAATGATGTCATGGAAAGGAAACCGAAAAAGCGGCCCACTTGATGCGTGCGTATGTGTGAGCGCGTGCTTGTATGTCAGAGAAAAAGAGAGAGAGAGAGAGAGAGAGAAAGCGAACGAGTGAGAAAGAGAGAAAGAGGGAGAGAAAGAAAAAGAGAGAGAGAGAAAAAAAGGAAAGAAATAGAAAGAGAGCTGGTGGGAAGGAATCAGATATGGAAAGATAGATAAAGAAATCAGAGAGCGTATGAAGGGGAGGAGACGACGTGTTGCAATATTCGATCATTAGTGTGTATGTGTGTGTGTGTGTGTGTGTGTGTCTATAAAAAGCCTTCCGCGTCCGTTCAGCCTGTTGTGTGGGGTATGTGTGTCACATCCACGTGGTTTGTGTAAAAAAGAAAGAAAGACTGTGTGAGTGAACGGGAAAACTGCTTGTAGTGGGGTAATATGATAGCTTTTAATATTTGCCAATTTTTAGACATCCCGTTTCTAAATTTATACAGAGAATGTATAATATTTAACAGTAACTGAAAGAAAGGTAACATGTCTGTTAGTGTTATTCCACACGAGGACATGTGTAATGATATGCATTTGTTAAAAGTACACGATTGTAACCGAACGCTATGTGTGGATGGTATGTGTGTATGGTCACCATACAAATGTACATCTAATTTGGTTGTTGGAATGGTCTTTCATTTATTTTTGTTTGACATTGGTGTTTAAGTGCTTGTCCAATCGTGAAATACCAGCCATTTTTCTAAATATGTTTTTGTTGTTTCAAGTATGATCAATGAATCATGATATCCAATTGTTTTATTATTCCTCATCACACCCACATACACCCCCCACACACAATATATATATATATATATATATATATATATATATACACGAATACGATTCATGTTACATGTGGAATAGTGTGTAAGTCAGCTGGTGGGGTGTCAAGATACACTAACATTCATAAAAAAATACTTAACGTCTCATGGCTGCCAACTTCAAGCCGTAGGTTACTAAAGATCACCCAAAAGAAGACTGAAGAGCCACTCAAGGTAGAGGGCTACTAAATGAGGTGTTTCATACAAACGTAAAAGAAAGTGATTTGATTGATTTGTTTCTACAGTATATCAACTCTTTGCAGGTTATTTAAGGCAAGAAAATATTTCTATTTTTTTGAGATAATAAAGGTTTAGTAATACAAGTTTTACTAATTAACCCATAGCTGGGGGAGAAGCGGTAGATACATACCTTTCCAAAGGGTATTTGCGCGTAAGTGAATATAACGAACCCAACTGGAATTGGAACTCCGCTATCCAATTACAATTCTGAGCCATTATCCATTACGCCACTCGCACATCCAAACTTACAGCACATGGTATTCCTAAGGAGTCACCCTTCGAGATACGGGTCATTCACGATGTTGTTTAACTTCGTATAACGAGGAGAGAAGGCTTGGAGAACATATAAAGAAATCAACTGGCTTGGGAACTTGGCTATCCATTTAACAATTCCGAGCCATTATCCATTACGCCACTCGCACATCCAAGCTTAGAAGGTTAGAGAACTTTGTAACTCCCAAGAAGTCACCCTTCTAGGTACTGGCCATTCTCAATGTTGCTTAACTTCGTATAACGAGGAGAGAAGGCTTAGAGAACATATAAACTGGCTTGGGAACTTGGCTATCCAATTAACAATTCCGAGCCATTATCTATTACGCCACTCGCACATCCAAGCTTAGGGCACTTTGTATTCCCAAGCAGCCACCCTTCTAGGTACTGGCCATTCTCAATGTTGCTTAACTTCGTATAACGAGGAGAAAAGGCTTGGAGAACATATAAAGAAATCAACTGGCTTGGGAACTTGGCTATCCATTTAACAATTCCGAGCCATTATCCATTACGCCACTCGCACATCCAAGCTTACAGCACTTTGTATTCCCAAGCAGCCACCCTTCTAGGTACTGGCCATTCTCAATGTTGCTTAACTTCGTATAACGAGGAGAGAAGGCTTGGAGAACATATAAAGAAATCAACTGGCTTGGGAACTTGGCTATTCAATTAACAATTCCGGGCCATTATCCATTACGCTACTCGCACATCCAAGCGGTCACTCTTCTAAGTTCGACGTTGCTTAACTTCGGTGATCTTACGGGAACGTTGTAGAAGATGAAGATTGGATGGATTTGGAGGAGAGATAACGATTGCCCCTAGGCTTGAAAAGGTTAAGATTGCAGTGTTCTGGGAAGTATCCACGCAGGTGTCTGTTCCACAAATGAGCAGTTCTTAGGAAGAAGCGTTCAGAGCAGAACGAACCTCCTTTTCCGTCCAAAGGAATACACAGTGAATGGAGGTGATTCAACCCTGTAGACATCACAAGGCGGGTCTTGGCTGTAATTGGCCTGAGCTGAATGTACCTAAAGAATGAGGCTTGCGGGAAGTGATCTTGCAATCACTGCCGCTGCTACTGATGATGATGATGATGATGATGATTCAGTCATAAAACCCAAAAATAAATAAATAAGTAAAAGGAACAAAAGAAAATAATTCGATTTAATTTACTTTCTGATCGTGGGTAGGTATCATCTGTTAGGGTCACAGCTATAGGCCACCCCCACCCCCACCGCAAAAACAATTCAACATTACATTTTTGTAGTGAAATTACCAGCAATACATTTTTATCTACAAACTAAATATCTAAAAAATATATACGTTTACTCTGCAGGAATAAAATTACGTACAAAATATTTAGATTTCGACATTAAATAATCCATTGAGGCTGATATGCCGCCAAACAAAATCAACCAACTTACTGATCGTAATTGTATTCGGTACACTTAACATCAGGAAGAGATTGTGGGGAACATAATGTGGAAGGAGGGCTTAGAAAATCTGTTACTCACAGGACGGATTGAGGGCAAGAGGGACAGAGTAAACAACCCATAACATACTTGACAAACTTGAGAAATGGATGGTGGAGCAGGGTTTGGGAGAGATGACAAAAATACAAAATTTATTAAAAGCTACAAAGAACAGGATATTGTGGAGAGCCATGTTCTGAAGGGACACGGCACAAAGAATAAGAAAACTTGTTTGAATTCAACATCTGAATACACAATGCCCTTCCAATCCTACCAGATAGAGATTGGAATGGCTAACGCTACCTTACTTCAACTAGGAGCTTTTTTCGATCCACATTGTTGTAAGCAATCAACTTTTCATCGCCTGTAATCGTTCTTTACAAAAATGGATCGTTTTGGTCGCGTTTGAGCAGAGAATTTCAGATGGAAATGCGGCCCATTAAATGTTTTCCATTAAATCGTGAGAGACCAAAACGTCTTAGCGATTCACATATCTAAATTCTTTCAATTAAGCAAATGAGACAGGGTAGTGATAGTACTTTTGAGGCATATGTGAGCTGAGTGAACAAAGCTTGGCGGCATTTGTGATTTATTTCAAGACTAACTGACAACTGACACGTCATAAGGATTTGAAAATTTCTTATGTGATTTGTCCTAAAAGTGGAGAAGAGATCTGATTGTAAACAAAGCATTATATTAATTGAAAATTGTGCTTTCCTGGAAGTCGGGGAACATGTAGCAAGAGAGGTGTTGTTGTATTTCCCGTTCAAGGATGAACGGGACAAGAGAAGGCCTCTGACACTTATTAGCAAGACCTCGAAAAAATATTCACTCATGCTGATCGGTTTCAGTCTCAATGAGGTTACTTGCTTTACACATCTATGGAGACTAAAAGTTCACTCCAGATTCAAGATATATATATATATATATATATATATATATATATATATATATATATATATATAATAAGAAATCTAAAGATGATAGTAAATTGGTCGAGTTTCTTGTGCAGGTCCAAAAAGGACCTGAAACCTTCAGACGTGCTTTATCAGATCAGAACAGATCAAACTAAAGTATCGTTGCCACATTTTGGATGGAGTTGCCCAGTCCTCTCTTTCCAAACTTGACAGAGTTCAAATGTGCTCTTGCGGGTTGCGGGGGTTACTTATTTTCCACACTGCAACCTCTTTCCACAGAGACTCAACGTCGCAAGCCTATCACTAAAATATTCAGACGTGTTCCATGCCACCAGTTCAGTCCTTTACAGCCAAAACCCGCCTTGCTGCGTCCACTAGATTGAATCAACTTCGTTCCCTATGTATTTCTTTAGTAACAAGGGCGTTTCACTCTGAAAGCTTATTCCCCAAAACAGCTACTCATGTTCATATTACATAATTAATTCAGGAAATATCTATATTGGGTGGCTCTTGGTCCTTTATTGGTGAAATTTAGTGAAAAATAATAGTAAAAAAAACAACCTTGTCCCTTCCATCAATAATTGTTTTATCACTTTTATTAGTTACCAAACCTAATAATTTGATGAGTGTCACCCGAAATAGAAATTTACAAGAAAAAATAGATTTTTCACTATTTTCAGTAGGGTTTGAGTTTCTCAAATGTAATTACTTAAGGTCTAGATGGTATTATTATATAGGCTTGCATGGCCGAGTGGTCAGAATGTTCGCTTTCCGATCATAAGACCTGAGTTTAAATCTACCCTTGGTCAATTTATCAGGGAGGTGACGTCTTGATGTTGTCGGCTTCGAAAGGTGATACCGGTGTGCAGCACCTTTGGAAAGTACCTTAAAACCATATCACTGCTTGGTCCAAGCATTATGAGTGAAATTGGGTAGACAGAAATGTCCTACGGTAGTTGTTCTAACATGAAGTCACAAGTCATCATGACCGAGGGAGTAAACGTAGTAGCATAGTTCAAAATGTTGATCACTCTAGTGTTTCTCAACTTTTTTTTTAATTCAGGGCGCACTTGTAGAATAACTAAAACGCTGAGAGGCACTTTAAATTTTAATAAGGAAAAATTAATCACGAAATTAGTCACGAAATTAGTCACGAAATTTGAAAATATGAAATTTTGTTTGAGCATTCTGAAAGAAGGTTAACGGTACATATTTTCTTTTAAAGGGATTTATGAAGAATCTGCTATTTGTTAGAGAGGACGATAATCTGATTTAAATCCTTGAGAAAGGCAAAAGAGAAAGGATTATCCACTTCCTCTTAAGGGATGTAGCATTCAGTTTAACATACCAAATGTTTGACTTAGACATGGAAGCTTGGTGTCTCTAGCTTTTTAAAAATATACTTTTTTAAAAATTATTTGCACTATTTACATTCGGACTATTGTCCTCATGTTTCTTGTTAGCACAACGTTTCGACCATTGTTCTCTCCGGCCTTCATCAGATGTATATCT